GCTAGCAGGCCTAGCACAATACGTATATGAGCTTTCTTCTGGTTCTCTTTAGTATTTCTTAATCGAGGGTTAAAGCAATGACACCTTACATTACTCATGTAAAGTTATGTTTAGATATGTAAGTGTAAGGTTGTAAGGTGTATCATCTGATGAAAAGAAATCGGCCATCACTTGCTTACCGTATCAGCATTTATTTGTATTAATTTGTTATTTGCTCTATACAGCCTCAGCAGCGCGATGGCGCTATGGCGCTCCAGCGTCGTTGTCGACCATCCGTCCGGACGACACCAAAAATGCGCCGTCTGTGGTGAGGTCCGGTAGTACTAGTGCAGGCCGTAGGGGTAGCCTAGCGGTCCGGCGTAGGGCCCGTAGGGTCCGTACGGCCCTAGGCCGTGGCCGAGGCCGGGGCCAGGGTAGCCCAGCAGCGGCCCGTACGGATAGCCGGGCAGGCCGTGCAGCGGCCCTGCAGCCTTGGGGGCAGCGGGGTACGGCAGGGGGCCCGGCCCGTAGGGGGAGGGCACCTGAGGGTCGAAGGAAAAAGAACTCGTCAGTGGCGACGACGACGACGAGACATCACCCTCGAAGTCCATGTCAGGCAATGGCCTCGTCTTCATACCTTGGGGGCTGGCGCCAGCAGGGCGGGTGCCAGGTGGGGAGACAGATGGGGCGCAGGCCCCAGGTGTGGAGCTGACAGCGGCCCCAAGGGCCCCAGTGGCCCCAGCGGCCCCAGGGGTCCTAGGGGCGACAGGTGATCAGCGTATCCAGGATACCCGAGCCCAGGGTATCCCAGACCAGGGTACCCCAGCCCCGGGTACCCCAGGCCTAGGACTCCACGCTTGCCCGTTTTCCGGTCCGCATCCTGACCGGACACTAGAACCAGGAGGCCTGCAAGCACCGCGACGACCTGCAGAGGACGAAAAAACGTGTAAACGAGACGGAGGAGCTGCCGGCCTGGTGTTGCCTCAGACAGACCCGCACGTCGGTACCCGTGGCACGGCGTCAGGCGCATGGTCCTCGTTGACACAGTGCTCCCCAGGTCTGACCTCACGGAGGCAACCCTCATCCCTCCCCGACGCTGCGCTGCCTCGGCAACCTCGGCCGGGTCGCACTCACCGAACTCAGCTGCATGTTGACGAGAGCTTGATGCTGGGGCGGGACTCCGCGGATTACTGGATAGCGCTATCGGTATCGCCGGGCTTTTATATAGACAATGGGAGGCAGGCTCGCGGCCCGGCCCTTCAAGGCAACGAAGTGCAACTCCTCCGTCTCACTCTATCGCCGTCTCTGTCCCCCTCGCACTCCTCCTCGGCCCGACCCAGTCGTGCAGGGGCACTCATGCTGCAGTCCACTGCATCCGTGAGGCAACCTCCTCATATTAACAGAGATCGAAGGCGCATAGCCAGTCGCGTTGCAGAGCGGGTTGCCTATGACAGGCCATAGGTTGGAAGTCAACATGGAGAATAACGTTTTTCAAAATTAATCCCCGTTCCTCAAAAAATCTACGTATTTTATTATTACTA